ATGCCTTAGTAAACATGGAGGGGGCCTGAAAGCATAGTGAAATCATAAATGTACAGATTTTGGATCACATTGAAGGACCCTGGTCCTGTCATCCATTAATCTGAAAATTGCACCTCTTTCATATGGGGCTATTTTTGGCAGCTGTGTGTCAGGCTTGAAAAGTCCAATAGTAGCCTTTTTGTTTTGCTCCTTTGAACCTTTGAGACCTTTTTTTCTTAATAAATCACAAATATTATTCCCCCAGCTTAGCCCTGATTAGTACAGTAGAGGCTAATTTACTGGGTCATTTCTTCTAATCCCTAAAACAATAAGGGCTGGGACGATGCTTGCTCTGGTGCTCATCTGTGACCTAGAAGAATGTTTTCTTGTTCTTCAGTAATGCAGGTCTACAAAGGCACGGCTCTCAGCAGATGTGTGCAGACCCTGTACCAAAAGTTGAAATAGCCATAAGTTACTAGTTGGTGTTATAAAATTATGATGAATTTGTTTATAAATACATTTTAATGTATTTATTTTGTTATTTATTGGACAGTATATTTTTATGCATATTCTTATATTTAGATTACTGTCATCTAGTGCTTACTTAAACTTACAGCACGTTTTAATAACACATAAATGTGATCTGTAAAAGATCTCAGAATGAATATGTCTTCCATACTTTCAAATATGTTCAGTATCTGGCATTTCAAATTATTTATTTTTGTTTTGTTGTGTTTTTTGCTTTGCTTTGCGTGTTGTGTTGTGTTGTGTTGTGTTGTGTTGTGAATAAGTATTGGCTTAACAATCTTTTCCAGAATTTTAATAAGTGCATCCTTAATTTTTCAGAAAAGCATGGTCTAACAATACTATCCTCTTGTTCATTGCAGGATTTGGAGTATAACTTTAGTTCAATGTGGTGATCTAGGTATTATGTCTCCGGATTTTCACTGTACTTTAATATAACCGACTTTTAAATAGTTGCATAATGTTTAAATCAAGTGAGTTGGATGTACTTTTTGTTCTGCACATTACAAGCACATTATCCAAATAACAGTTTGACTAAGCCAGAGGAAGTTGCAAGGTTTTCTGCTGAAGGCTTCAGATACAAACATCACATAATTTTCGCATACACTCTTAAAAATAAAGGTGCTTCACGATGCCATAGAATATTATAAAAAGGTAAGAAAGAGATGGTTCTTTAAAGAACCTTTGACTGAATAGTTCTTTGTGGAACCAAAAATGGTTCTTCTATGGCATCGCTTGAAGAACCTTTTGAAGCACCTTTATTTTTAAGAGTGTACCAGCCCAGTGCTGATTCAGTGTTAGTGAGTCATGGAAGTGTGGAAGCTTTGTTTCCCATTATTCATGGAAATGGAGGATAGCAGGTCTGTTTTTCGTAGGCAAAGGGTCAGTAGAGGACTCGTGCATCAGAGAAAAGCAAAGTAGTGGTTTATGTTCTTGCCAGTGCTACCAACTGGAACACATTTTCACAGTAATGAGGGTAATTAAAACAAAATGATAATTCACGACCTTTTTTCCCTCCAGGGAAGAAAATAGAAGAGCTATTTTGAGTTGACTGTATTCTAAAATTACAGTGCTGGAATGAGGGTGAATGTGTCATATTTGAGGGCAGAGACAGTTTAATTCAGGGTTGTTTGAGGACCACATGATTAAGCTAAATAGCAAAGTATTGACTTCATTTTATATGGGGACTTTTTTTGGCTGGAGTTATTAATGTTAGTTTCAAATGTGCTGGAGGCACATCACACAATAGTTCATCTTGTAGTGTTACATGAGAAAGTCAATGAAAGTATTCGTTTAGCACTTTAAATTGAATACTGATGCTGAAATATCAATCTAATTTCAACCATGTAGACATAAAACAGATGATGGAAAGGAAGCATACGTCTGAATGAATGGTTGAGGGAGTCCTTTATATAATTTTCAGGGCGTTAAGAGGTTTTCATGAGATCTGGAAGTCATACTGTGTGTGCGTGTACATTCTGGTCTGACTGGACCCTGCCATCCCAAGCACCAAGGGTTTGTCTAAACAGCGCCAGTGTTTGCACAGTGCTGTCAGGTTGACTGGACTGACTATCCCTCATGCTGCCTGTCTGAAATCCACTCTGTCCAAAAAAGCACTTGGAGTCCCATTTGAGAGGCAGCCCATCATCTGCACAATGATGGAGGAGGGCAAGCACATGGTTTTCCATTCGACAGCTCCTTCTTATCAGATGTCATATGGTCCACCTCCTGAAAATGAAAATTGACATTGTTTGCTCACCTTAATATTGTTCCAAATCCATATGACATTATTCACGTTGGTATCAGTCCATACAGTGACAGTACAGTGATCACATCCGTCAAAAAAAAAAGCACTATAAAGACAAGGTAGAAGTAATTGTAAGTTATCGTATGGTTTCAGTAGATATTGAATAGTCATATGGACTACATTTATGCTGCCTTTTTATAGTGCTTTTTGTTTTTTTTTGTTTTTTCAGAGTTTGATATGATAACAGCATGAATGTTTTGTTTTTTTTTGCGAATATCATCAGAGTTAATAAAAAAAACTTTCGAATGTCAAATTTTGCTAAATTTAACATTTTAATTTTAACAAGCCTGGCCTGGATGATAAATTTAAACTTTTATCCTTTACTGTACATGTTTCATGTAAAGTAATTTGTAATTGAATGAGAAGACCATAAACATTAACAGAGCCATTTTCAGCATACTGGAATTGTTAAGAGTGAATGTGTGCACATTTTAAAAGGAAATCATTATTTGCAGATAGTTTGAAATAAATTGTGGTTCTTTTACTACTTTTTTTATTCCTTGAAATTACTTTAAATCTTTTAATTATTCATTAATTTTAATTTCCATTACATTTGCGATCACACCCATTTGTTTTTGTCCCCGCCAATGTCCAAGACATGGTTACATTCTTGCTCTCTTATAATGTGATTTTGCTTTACATCACTAATTCAGAAGGGATTTCCCTTCTGTCAAATGGAGTGTTGTTAGTTGGAATATGTGGACACATTGGCCTCGAGTTGATGCTGTAAAACCAGTGCTGACTGCTGACTCTAATTTATTCATTTATTTCTTTACTCTCACTGGTCTTTTTGTCACAAGTATAAAATTACTATTGAACTCGGGTAATTTACATTGGCAAGCAAAATTATCAAGCCAAATGAATGGCATACGATGAGGATCAGGTGCATAAATGGCCATATTGTTTCACAGCTCATTGATCGGAGACAAAGATCAGCATGGGGCCACAAGCAATATGGTCCTCCATAAGGTTTATACAATAAACTCGCAGAGAAATTGGATGGGTATTTCAATCAAACCCACTTTTATTCATGCGCCAATCGTCACGAAAATTAAAATGTGAAAATGTATTTACCTCATGCATTAGCACAAAAACTACAAGGCTTGAAGCCAGGACATGGGTTTTGAGAAATGAAACATGTCTATGGAATATGAAAGATTACACTGAGTCATCTTTGCTGGTGTAGAGCGAATGCCATGCTGTGTAAAGGGGTCAGTTTGTAAATCTGCGAGTGGCGACCGCAGCACAAGGGTTAATGTAGCGGAACCCTCCGCTTCGTAATTCCCACTGGGTGTCCGCTAGGGATCACAAGCTTTGGGCCTTGTGACTGACAACCGGGCCATTAAACGCGGTTGGCTGGGTGTGGGACGGTGCTGCCCTTAATAGCCAATGGCAAAGCTTCAATGGTACTGAAGGAGTGTGACTGATTAGAGAGAAAGAGCTGGCTTGTCTGCACACACGGAGAGAGACACTCAGGCCTTTCTGACTTCAAGAAAGTGTCTGTAAATTTGAGTGCAGAACTGAAGTAAAGATATTGGATGTATACACCACATGTGACTCTACTAAGCTAAGAACTTTACAGGTAGGGTTATGGAGTGTTTTAATGTTTGGTAAGTGCGAAGAACTTTTGAGCTAGTGTTTTTTAAAGTGTCTTTTTGAATGTTTATTTTAGTGGGCGGACATCCTGGAAATATGTTGGAAGTTTAAAGCATGTGTTGATTCCTTTAAAAGGGTGTTTTATGTTTATTTGCAGTGCAAGGTTTGAGATTTTCTATGGTCTGTTGCTGTTCTTGTGGATGGATGTGAAAATAGATGACACTGAGCTTAAAAACAGATGCAAATGATTTATTAGAGGTTGCAGACAAGGATCTAGAGTTGTCGTTTGTCTTGCAAAGGAAGGAAAAGTGGTTCTTTTTAGTCTCTCCAATTTCTGTTAACCATAGTAACATTTGTTTTGACCTTTTTAGAAATCTCGAAGCATTAACAGCTCCTTACTCTTTTCTAAGCAGATTACGTTGTGAGGATTCCAACCTTCTAAAGTGTGTTCACACACCCCGGTTTGCAGTCCCATGATGCAGCTGGTGAGCCTGGCCTGGATGATGGTCCTGGCCGCCCCACTGGTCTGCTTTGGTTTCACCACCCGTGGTCAAGGCCTGCGTGGGCGGGTTCAAGGTGACCGACGGAACATCAGACCCAACATCATACTCATCATGACAGATGACCAGGATGTGGAGTTGGGTGAGTATACCAGATGCGATTCATCATTAATGGCCCATCTGTTCTGCAGACGAATGAGGTGGAGACCTCTCTTGAGGCTTTGTCAGTGCTCGGCATGCAATAGTATGAATCAGCAAGTAGTCTGGAAAGTTTCTGTAGAGATCCTCAAAAGCCGTAATGATACTTTGAGAAACATGGGAATGGAACTCTAGACCAAACATTTTTTTGTATTCCCCTCACTGATTTGAGTGTTTGAATTTGCACTCTTCACTTCAATATTTGTGAGATGGATATCTTTATTATTATTATTATCACTATTAATTAATTAATTAATTCATATTTATTTATTTTTTTTTAGTGGTGTTTCAATTAGTGTTTGTTGGCCATTTCCATTATGGCTTAAAGAATTGCTGTTCTTACTAAGCCGTCTTAAATCAAGATTAATTGATTTAAAGCAAATTGAAGAAGCAACATGATGCAAAATGGTGTAAGTTTTTCTTCTGAAAAATTTATAAAAATCAATCAAGTTTTTATATAAAACAAGAAAATGATCGTCCACTGGGGTAAGAAAAGTAATGTTCTTTTCCATTTGGATTATGTGTATTTTTCTTACCCCATTGGCAGATATTTCTTTCTTGTTTTAGGCATGAATTCACTTATTTTATGTTGATAAAGCTTGTTTTAATGCACAAAACTTTAGCTGCTATTGAGGTGTGATACGGGTAAGCTTAGGGACAGGTTTGGTGGCATGGGTAGGTTTAAGGGTTGGTTAAGGTGTAAGGGATGGGTCAACAGTGTAATTATATTTTATAAACATTTACACATGATTAATAGTTTCAACTTTAGATTGGCTCTAGCCTTTTAGTCCTGTTTAGTCAATAAGAATTATTTAGACAATAAGAACTCTTACAATAAGAATTTGTTGCAAAGGCAGAGTTTGTGCCTTCATTCAGTCCAAGATCTTTAATGTATTAGTTATTTTAGGTACATTCAGATTCTGTTTCACTGAAACATTCAAGATGATACTGTATAGTTTTCCAATATAAACAAACATGCTGGTTCAATTAGTTGTACAACAGTGACCCTGGCATGACATGGATATGTTTTGCTGTAATGCTGAGGAACAAGGTCCACTGAGCACGTCTCTAAACAATAACTTCCATAAGACTTTCACTCCCACAGATTCCGGTGGTAGCTGCATGTTTTAGTAATTGGGAGGTTAGAGGGGGGAGGGGGGATGGAGACTTTCCCCCAACCAGCCCAGACGAGGAGCACTGCCATCAAAGGGCTTACAGCTTCAGCATCACGTGATTTTTACCCCCAAGCCCTTGTGCACATTCCTGCTGCTGCCACATAGCAGTAAGATTGAGACCTCAGTGTTGTCATAACACCAGACTCATGGAGGGCTAAGACCCTCTATTAACATTGAGTGAAGCCGTCAACGCCCTTGTCGTGCTCAATACTGAGTTGTGAGCGTCATGGCATTAGCTCTGTTGTTGTAGGTAATGTCAGTTTCATATAGTTAAAAAAAAAAAAAACATTTTCAACGAAGTAATTTTTCCTTATTCTTAACACAATGTACACATCGTACACATAATAAAAAAAAATGTGTGTGTGTGTGTGTGTTTTTTTTTTAACACATGAATTCATGAAAGATTTTTAGGGAACTGCACTAAAAAAGAAAAGAAAAAAAAAGTCACACAATCAGATATTTTAAAAGACTGACCATGACACACAATTTTGAGGGCTTTCAAGGCAATTTGATTCGGCTTACTAAAGTTTATCACATTTTTGTAAATATTTTATTATATCTTTTCATGTGACAACACTGAAGAAATGACACTTTGCTACAATGTAAAGTAGTGAGTGTACAGCTTGTATAAGTGTAAATTTATATATATATAATAAACAGTGAGGTCATTTTGTTAAAAAAATATTTTTATGAAATAATAAGATCAAGTCAAACTACTTGAGGGTTTTTGTTTGTTTGGTTGTTTGTATGAGGTTTTTTTCCCCATTTATAACTTCAGGACAGTTGTTTTTTTTCTTGACCTGATTTTATGCCACCTAAAAATATCAAAATGAAATTTCATTTAGAAATTAAAAGAATACTTATCAAAGAATCAGTGTGTTTGTCACTACGTATGAATTGCATTTAAATGTTTATAAATTACTGATTCTAATTAAAAAGGATTATAAATTATTCAGATACTTCAAATTAAATTTCAAATGAATATAAAATAATTATATGTTTCAATAATATTCAATAATAGAAATAAATAGAAAAAATAATCTTATTGACCCTTGCTTTATTTATTCAAGCTGTGAAAGAAGCATATCCATGTGGAGATCATTCACTTTATGTATGCATGATTTTTTTTTATTCTGCCTGTTCCAGGACTACTTCACTGATTTGATTACCAACGACAGCATCAACTACTTCCGAATGTCCAAGCGCATGTACCCGCATCGGCCGGTGATGATGGTGATCAGTCATGCAGCGCCTCATGGCCCGGAGGATTCAGCACCCCAGTACTCCGCGCTCTTCCCAAACGCTTCCCAGCACATGTGAGTGACTCTCAGAACATTCAGTTACACTCTGCAAGAGCGACAACACTGAACTCCACTGAACCCAGTCTATCCTGTCTGAGAGCCAAGCCCTGCTGGAATATACACTGGTGTTTGAATTGTTGAGTCTAGATATTTTTATTGTTCTGTATGTATTTATAATAGGATATTCCAAAGGACACATTTTTATAGAACAGTAGCATTCCAAGCAGATCACTTTCCTATACATTTTAAACCATTATAATTTGGCTTGCAGGTAAATATAAGTTTGTAGCTTTAGGAATTTTTGTGGCGTCATATATTTGGAAATGTCATTAAAATTAGACTCTTAAGAGATGACAGTGCACTGAAATGCACTTCACACATGACACCACCACCATGAAACTAAAGTCATTTATCATCCAAGTAAAGTTCTGGCACATGCCAAGTAAGATGATGGGGGATGAGATTTTTATGATCCTCACTCTGGGTGCCAAGACCTTGATTGGTTCACTGCACTATCATCAGTTTTGTGGCTAGGTTCCTATTCCACAAACAGCGCTGTGGCAACAGGCCATCCATCTCCAAGTCCTTAACATCCCAGGCATGTCAGGAATCCTGGTCAGGGCGACATCACACTTTTGTCCCTCGAGCCTATCCATTTCTTTCTGCTGGTCTTTCTACACAAAATTCTGGCACTTCTCATATCAATCATGCCTTTCACTATGTAGGTTTGGGTAATGCATTGTCTTAGAAGACCCTTTTGTGTTATTGATATCTTTTAAAGTGCATGGGCTCTGAATAGATCACACTTGGATACCCCAAGGTTCACATCGGCTGGCAAGTCGCTCTGGTGCCGAAAGGGTTGCCTGGCAAGTTGTGCCAAATGAACAGGGAAACAGATGGCAGGCGCAGGTTGCATTCTGGAATGATGCAGCAGGGTTTCAGACACTTTTTGGGGTTTATTTATCATCGGCGTAAAAAATAACAAAAGTACACTCATCCAAAATACCAAAATAAGGTGCTCAACCAAAAATAGAAAGGTAAAAATATTTAAAAAAAATAAGGCTTCAAGACATTTTTCTTTCTTTCTTTCTTTCTTTCTTTCTTTCTTTCTTTCTTTCTTTCTTTCTTTTTTCTTTTTCTTTCTTTCTTTCTTTCTTTTTCTTTTTTTTTTTTTTTTTTCTTTCTTTCTTTCTTTCTTTCTTTTTCTTTCTTCTTTCTTTTTCTTTCTCCATTCTTTCTTTCGTTCTCTTTCTTTCTTTCTTTCTTTCTTTCTTTCTTTCTTCCTTCCTTATATTTTACGTTTATTTATTTTGCTAAAGTTATAATATATAAATAAATTTCTTTATTAATAAATATCTATTTACTTTTATTTATATTTTACTTTATTTTACTTAATTATATTTTATTGAAGTAAAATATATAAATTAAGAAATGATTTAATTATTTATACATTTATTATATTTTTATTTATTTTTATAGACATTACATTGTCTGTATTTTATATTTGACCAAAGTAGTAAAATGTACATAAATTAATAATTTAATTATTTATGTTTTACTTTATTTTTTTTTTTATTTTTTTTTTTAATAGACTGTACTTCATCTGTCTTTATTCTTAATTTGCATAATAGAAAATCGTACTGGGTGGCCCTGCTAGAGTGATTATGTAAAAGTTAAATAAAGATGGTTTTCTTGCCAGTCTGGAAGAAAAGCATTGCGTAAGCCTGTGAGCTTTTGAATGTGGTAATTGATACAAATAATCTCAAATGCATGAAGTCTGCATTGCTATGCCGCCCTCCACCAGTAACATTAGAGTTTTTTTATGTTATTATCACATCGGATAAAAGGGTATTGAGAGAGATTTATGAAACGTGATGCTTCCTGTGCTATAGCAGAAACTACACAAGTATTTCATCTCAAAGACAAACATTCTCTACCCTGCTTTGTGACAGGTGTCGAATCTGGACTAATTCCATCCTTTGACCTCCAAATTCTAAATTTGCTCTACCTATGCGAAGAGACAGGTTTCTTTTGTGTGGTGTATTAGTTTGCCTCACTAGCTGGGTGAAGAGTTCAGTGAGCAGACAAAGGTGGACTGAGGAGGAGAGGGCAGAAGCCGTCCACTCAGACAGAATGGAGCTTTCCTGTGGCCATCATTCATTATGACACTAGGCACAAGAGTCTGGTCTGGAAAGCAAAGGATGGCCATGTCTTTCAGCTGTGGAGAGAGGCCAACTGCAGTCAACAGGTGGCCATCTCGTAGCCGTAGCTCCACAAACAAGTCCGCAGCCTCCTATTTACCCAGCTTTTTATTCTCCACTTCAAATGCAAATGAGTTATAGCCCTGTCGTTGCTGGACTTATTACAAACTTTATTTTGGGTCCGAAGGCTGGGGAAACTATTATTTTTCTTATGCATGTGCCAACCCTCAAATTATTAAATGCTGCCAAGAAACCCTGAGACTCTCAGCATGGTGTGAGGGGAGATGGAGAGCGAGCCCAAGAAAAACACCTAGCGAGGAGAATTAGTACGTTTCCGTGGAGGGGGAGGGTGACTGCTCTGTTATTGATGCTTGTCAAGTATGTTATACAACAGGCAACTCCAACAACCACAAGTGGTTGTGAAATGGCAGACAGGTGCATGTTTTCCTCACAGTAGCATGTTGTGCTTATTCACTCAGAACTCCCAGCTATAACTACGCACCAAACATGGATAAGCACTGGATCATGCAGTACACTGGCCCGATGAAGCCGATTCACATGGAGTTCACCAACTACCTGCACAGGAAGAGGCTCCAGACGCTGATGTCTGTAGATGACTCTGTGGAAAAGGTCAGTGGTTTATGCATTCTTGCTCCAAATTTTGGGTATTTAACAGATTTTGTATATGAATGGAAAGATAATGTGTGTTTACTTTACAGATTTATAATGTCCTGGTCGACACCGGGGAGCTGGATAATACTTATATCATTTACACAGCTGATCATGGTTACCACATTGGCCAGTTTGGCCTGGTCAAGGGGAAGTCTATGCCCTATGATTTTGACATCAGAGTGCCGTTTTTTGTCAGAGGTCCTAATGTGGAACCAGGGGCAAGGTAAAATCAGCTTCTATTTGAAATGCACATTTTGTACAATATAATTTCTTTCCACACTTTATCTGTATCTGTATATTTCTATATTAAAATTTGATTGACACTAATTGTTTAAAAAAAAAAACTAGAAAGAAATAAATAATAAATTAAAAATATATTAAATTATTTACAATGTACAGCTATAATATTATATATATTTTAAATTATATATTTCTAATTCTAATTTTATTTATTAGCATTATATTATAGTATAATGCACATTTTGCAATTTTCACAAATTAAAATATATGCATTTATATATTTGTTTTATATATTTATATATTTAATTATTTATTAAAAATGAAATACACTATTTAAAAATAAATGTAAATTTATATATGTGTTTTCACACTTTTGAAAATATATTTATATAAAATTATTTATTAATGTATATATTTATATTTTATATATTTATTTATGTATGTTAAAATATATAAATTTACTGTATGTGTATGCACAATATATATATATATAAAAGGTTATTAGCAATAATGTAGTATAATACACATTTCATATACACAATTTCTTTCACAATACACATAACACAACACACATCACACAGCATAACATAGCATAACAACATAGCATAGCATAAGATAGCATATAACATAAAACATATAACATAAAACATATAACATATAACATATAACATAAAACATAACATCTTTTGTGTTACTCCGCAGAAACAACTATCTTGTGCTAAACATTGATCTCGCACCCACAATCCTGGACATAGCTGGCCTGGACACTCCACCTGATATGGATGGCAAATCTATCCTGAAGCTTCTGGAGCAGGAAAAGACTGGGAATAGGTGAGCTAAGTCCTCTCCATGAACACATTCCCAGTGTAATAAATGGTTGCATAGTATCTGTTTATTGCTTTTAATTCAATTAAATTGAGTTTAACAGTTTGTGAACATTTGGAGTACATTTATAAGGGGTTTCTGGCAGGTAAAGAATGCTGGAAATGCTCTGGGGTCGCTGCAACTCATGATGGCAGGAGATATTGAGCAGATTAAGATGTCATAATTCAGGCCAAGCTAAACATCTGCTTATGGTATGCAAATGACACAAAGACTGAGAGAGAAATAAAATATTTATGTTTTCGTATTGCAGATTCAAACCCAACCGGAAACCCAAAGTCTGGAGGGACACATTCCTCGTGGAGCGGGGGTAAGGCAAACATTCTCCCCTCTCTTCTCAATCATACTATACAAATCACTGCAGAATGAATGTGCGAAATAAATTTGAATTGATTTATTTTGTACGGGGGGCTCACCGCATGCAATTCAAACCGTTCCAGAATTTCACTGTAAAATCGCCAAAAGATAAGATCAGAAGTACATGTTATGATTTTAGGATTCCATTGCACAAACATCCTTCTTCCTTGACGTCTCTTGGTTCAAGTTCACCTAAAAATGTGGGAAAATATCACAAAAATATTCTTATTTATCCAAATTACCATTAACAATCACTACAGCCTCACGGTAAGATCAGACATTCTTCGATTAAATATGTTCTCAGGAGTCCAGCTATTCAGATGACAGCTTTAGATTCTCATTATCGGATATGTTTCAGTAACCTAGGACACTCACGACAGAAAAAAATCCTTCCCCATGGGAAATATATGATATTACCTGTGGTATCAGACTCAAATTTGATACGTGTGCATAGCATTTCCCTTGATTTCTGTTACTGATGTGAGGAATGTGGGTATGGTATTGAGGTTACCCTATTTAACTTGCGCTGCCTTTGTGCAGCCATTGCACACAATCTCTATATATTGTATCTGTGGCCGTGGGCACAACCACACTGCTGTCTCGGTCTAACATTCCTCGTGTCACTCACAGGGAGCTGTCAGTCTGTGTAATGGCATATTACCACTCCCACAGTCTGCCCATGCTTTCTTTCTGCTTAAGGCTAAGTGAAAGAAGGTTTTTTTAGGAATGGCGTAATCATGAAGCACATCGTTGATCAGTGGCGGCTGTTGCTTCCGTGACTCAGTAACTGTTGTGTATAAAGCCAGACCACGGACTCGAAGCATGTTTATACCAAAATGCCATTAATTCAGCCTGTTTTGCATGGTTACGACAGCTCTCATTTTGTGAGAAGTCAGATTAGCGACTACTTCATTAATTAGTTGTGGTGAAATCATGCAGAACACTTCATTTCCCTTACAGGCGGAGGTTAATTTGGGCCGGAATGATTCGTAATGGAGTTCCAGCTCTTTATATAAAAAAAAAAAAATGAAAACGCAAGTTTTAAATGAGTGTTAGATGATGGCAAAGCTCATTTTTAAGTGTAAAAATGTGCATGAACGGTTAAGTATTATTGAGTTTCATAAAATACTTTAATTCAGGCTTTTTGATGGACTGCATTCATTTCTTGCCTAGGCAACCAGAATCACCAGCTTTTTAGGCCCTCTCAGCCTACAGAATCCTAATTCTACCTTTTATGATTTGTTTTTATGGATTGGTTGGGCTTAAAGGAATAATTCACTCAAAAATGTAAATTTGTGTAAATATACTTACCCTCAGGCCATTCAAGATGTAGATTAGTTTGTTTCGTTATTGGAACAGAATTGGAAAAATGTAGCATTACTTCACCTGCTCACCAATGGATCCTCTACAGTGAATGGGCGCCGTCAGAATGAGAGTTCAAACAGCTGATAAAAACATCACAATAATCCACAAGCTGCATGTCTGTAATAAACAAATCCATTATTAAGACGTTTTTAACTTCGAACCATCGCTTCTATCTAAAATACGAATCCTTTGTCCATAATATTACTTTTTTCCAATGAAAAAGTCGTCTCGTCTGAATCAGGAGAGAAATATGCACAGATCAAATGCTGTTTACAAGCAAAAGCAGTCCAAAACAGTTCTAAATAAATGTGTCTGTGGATTTTGATGTGAAAGAACAACAGGAAATGAACTTTTTCACTGGAGGAAGCATCATAATGGATTATGGATTGGTATTTTGGCCAGAAGGAACAGTTAAAACGCCTTAATGATGGATTAAAAAAAAAAAAACAACTTTTCACTTCAAGGTGTTAATTGATGGACTGGAGTCATGTGGATAACATGTAAATTATTTTGCTGTGTACATGTAAATTATCAGCTGTTTCTCATTCTGATGAATTCACTACAGAGGATCCATTGGTAAGCAATTGATGTAATGCTAATTATATTCAAATCTGTTCTGATGAAGAAACAAAACAGTCACACTTTAGTTTGGTGACCAATTCTCACTATTAACTAACTATTTACAATTTTCTCCTCAAATAGTAAGATGGTTAAGTTTAGGCATGCAGTCGGATTAAGGGATCTAAAATATGGTCATGCAAAATAAAGCATTATGTGCTTTATACATTCTTATAAACAACCAATATGCTAGAAATATGCATTCTAATAAGCAACTAGTTAATAGTGAGTATCAGTCCCTAAACTAAAGTTTTACTCAAACCACATCTTGATATCATGGGGGATCTGGGCCACAATGTTGTTTGTGTGCTGTGAAAGCTTTAATGCTCTCCACATATTAGTTATGAGATGCTGACCTGGGTGGGACAGCTATGCTTTCCAGGCTTCCGAAACTTCAGTAAGGCTGCCAACTTTAAAACGTGGCCTAGCAACTCACCAAAGCACATTTGTTATTCCAGCAAAATCCTGCGCAAGAAAGATGACTCAGGAGGCAGCTTGAACACACAACACTCCAACAGCTTACCCAAGTACAAGAAGGTGAAGGAGGTGTGTCAGCAGGCAGAGTATAAGACGCCTTGCGAACAACCAGGACAGGTACAAACTCAAATAAACACGTGCATTGCTCTTTTTGTCACCTACTGTCTATATATATTCTTTCCCTTATGAATTTGCACACACATGCACAATATTTGCTCTCAAACATTCAAGTAGTCTCAACCTGGCCCTTGTTTACCTTACTAGGGGCTTGAACCAGGGTGTTTAAGCTCTAAGAAATGCTTTTTGCCCCAACCTTAAATGATGATTGAACACATTCATTTGCACCTTCAACACGAAACCTGAGATTGGCGTGTGTGGCTCACAGTCAAAGTCTTATGAGTGGTGCCACTGTAATTGAAACCGATATTTACAACAAATTAAGGATAATTGGAGTTTGGTCATAGTTTTCTTTCATCAGCACAGTGTGTGCCTGCTCCACCAGACCCTCTGTGGCGTGGCAATGAATCAAAGAGGGCTGAACATTACAAATTGGTACAATTTCAGGTAGTGTAAATGCAGACAGTATTTCAAGGACTGCAGTAATGCAAACCAGATTCTTTTTATGGTCAAGTTAAGTGTTTGCCTGCAACACTTTGTCTGGAAATTTGATTGAATGCAGAAAAGTTGTTGGAATAACACATGGGTTTCAGTCTTCTTTAGTCCAGTGACCCAGTCACCTGCCAGAACAAAGCTGAAGAAGTTTTGGAGAAAGATTCAAACATATTTTTTATGAATAGACCAAGTCTTTAATAGTCAACATGAAATCAGAGTTGATGCCATTTGCTTTCTTAATAAAAGACCCTTGTCTTATAGTTTAAATGCTGCAGTAAGTTAAATGTGCTCCAAACGCATGATGGATTTTGCATAGCAGAGGACAAAAAATTGTGTATAGAATGATTATATATAGAATTATTTTCTGAATCTTATTATATGTTGCTGACTGGGGTAATGGCTGCTGAAAATTCCGTTTTTCCATCACAGGAATAAATTAAATTTTTAAATATATTAAATTACAAAGCAAACAGTTATTTTAAATTATAATAATATTTCCCTTTAATTCTATTAATAAATGCAGCCTTGGTGAGCATCAGAAACTCAAAAATATTTAAAAAAAAATCTTACTGACCCGATGGTTGGATGTTTTTAATAAGTACGGCAGCATTTGCTACTGCCATTGTTTTCCTGTGAAATCCACTCTTTTGGAAGACTGTCATGGTTTAATAGACAAAACTTGTAGTTATGGTCTACTGCTTCCAGCTCAAGTCTTAGCTTGAGTAGCGTATCAGTATCTGTTTTTCCAATATACTCTTTCTTTTTCTTTGACTAGTAGGAATGTGTTGAAAAAGCCTCGCAAAGACGGCATTAACACAGTCCTACTGCCTGCAGTGGGGTCAGTGAGGGCAGTGTGTTTGATTGAGGCTGTGTGAAAGTTTGTCTGTTTCTTCCTGAGTCTGAGTCCATCATTCAAGTAGTGAGGGTTCACATAGTTGGCTGTGGCGCTGTTTGCTTATGTCTGTTTGACTTCTGGATATATGGAGCCAGTCTGTGCGTGCGTGTGTGGATGTGGATGTGAGGTACAAGAAATACTTAACATGTTTTAGTGTGTTTGGCTACTATGTCTGGAGGAACTAAATGAGTGAAACTGTTCAAGCAAGCTTTGGCTAACTCCTTTTTGGTTTACCACCCTTCAAACAAACATCCTTGCTGCGAACAGGTACAGCATCACCCGCAGATACATAAACTCAGTGATGGGACTCCAGATTCTCAGGAAATCAGAACAGGGTTGTGGCCATTGTTTGGATATGGTTTCCCATAGCACATGTCTGAGCTGTGGTCAGTTTGCAAAGCAAACAGCTCTGCGAAATTAGGAGATTAAGTCTAAATTGGCTTCTGATTGCTTTTTTATGGGAAAAATTGCGAGGTGGCTCTTGTGCCGTGTGATTGTGAATTAATGGGATTACTCTACAGATGCAGATGTTTGACCACTAAGTTCGCCATTCACAGACAGAAGATTAATTTCATTCATAAAAACAGCTGTGGTTATGCAAATGAGCCGGCTCTTGCACAATAAGTGGTTAGGCAGACAAAAATGTCTGCCCACAAACTGAATTCCTTCCCTTTTTGTTACAGAAATGGCACTGTGTGGAGGAGGTCAGTGGGAAGTGGCGTTTGCAGAAGTGTAAGGGCTCTCTGAAGGAAGGATCCAAGAAGCGGGCGAGGAGTCTGCGCTCTCGAAGCTATGACAGCCGCGAGAAAGACTGCCACTGTGGAGATCGGCCTTACAAATCGGCCAAGGCAGCACGGCGGGCGCAGAGACAGTTTGCCCAGAGCAGTAATCCACGTAAGTATATGCACTCAAATGAGGAGGACGGATTGCTGGCTGTTCAAGACTGTATAGACAAACACTGGACCTTTTAGACTGGGACTGAAAGTCACTCACTTGTCGCCACCTACTGGTTCAATGATGCAGCCTACAGGAACAGTCCATTAGCAAATCAATAGAGTGAAGAGTTTCAAAGGTTTGAGTCACTGGGAAGAATTGAACTTTTCACTACTAAAGGACGGAAAATTGAAACTGTATCTTCCAAAGCTACAGACTTCCCAGAATTTAGTTAAACTAGTTAGCTACCCTAAAACATACAAAACTATTTACCAAGGTATTTGGGCTTTTTTAATTTGGGGTTAAATGTTTTACATGCTTTGATTTAAATTTGACCTAAAAATACAGTAAAAACAGTAATATTGTGAATCATGTTATTACAATCATTTTTTTAAATAACTGTTTTCTGTTTTATTATCATTTAAAATGTAATTTATTTCTGTAATTTCAGCAGCCATTACTCCAGTCTTCAGTGTCACATGATCCTTCAGAAATCATTATACTTTGCTGATTTGGTGCTATAGAAACATTTCTTATTGTCAGTGTTGAAAACAGTTGTGCTGCTTAATATTTAATTATTTATTTAGTAGAAACTGTATTATGCTGCTGCATGTTATTATTGCATTATTAATAGTATTGCATTATTACTACATGCATTATTTTCATTTGTTCAGGATTCTTTGAATAGAAAATTCATGAGCAGCAAGTTTTAAAATTTATTTATTTTCATTTATTTTATTTTTTTTCAATGTAAAACTCTTTACTGTCACTTCGAAACAATGTTTAAATAGAGAGGGGGGAAAAAACTTTTAAATGATAGTTTAATTAATATTTTCTCAATAGTAAGGAGCTCAGTTAAGCTGACAGAATTGAACTTTATGCTAAATAAATGCTAAATAAAACTAGACATGCACTATTATTAATAAATCTAAGTCAAAAGCATGGTGTTGATCAGCATCATTTAACTAAATATTTTAATTAAAAAAAAATATATTTGTGGGGTAAATCAAATTATTAATTTTTTTTATCTGCTTTATTTACACAAACTGTCCAAATTATCAGATTAATTGAAATGAATCATACTTTAGGGAGTAAAGCTGTGTATGCAGTACCATGCACAATAAAAATGTATAATTTATCACATTTTACTATTACACATAAAACTATTGCTATGAATCTAGTTGTTATACTACTGAAAATGGAATTTAATTACTTTAGTTAATTGTACTACAATGCTCCCATGATTGTGAGAGAACTAGGAGTCATATTTTTTTGGTGCCATCTATTGGTGTTGAGCACCAGTTGGTTAAGTATTGGTGAAGTGACATTTTTGAAATATATTAGAGGAAATGTAATGAGCTCCAGCAATATGTATATAAATATTTAACTCTGACATATAAATATTTAAGTATGTGTAACTGACGCTGATGTCTTCTTTCAGGCTACAGACATCGCTTTGTTCACACGCGGCCAGCCAGATCCCTGTCAGTGGAGTTTGAGGGTGAAATCTATGATGTGGACCTACAGGCTGATGACAAAACCCCCCTTGAGCCTCGACCAATCAGCAAACGGCACCATGAGCCTGAGGGAGGTTTTGATTCCGACTTTGGGTTGGAGTCCGATGACGGATCGGAGGAGATGCAGTCGGATGACACTAATGCTGTGGGATACCCCAATACTCTTAAAGTCACCCATAAGTAAGAGCTCCAAGCCTTTGGTCACCTCTAAATATAAACTGTATTATTGTAGTTTAGGCTGTTTAAAGTGTGTTTTACTCATTTGTTGATCATTTTACCTTGGAATCACAGATGTTTCATATTAATGAATGACACTGTGCGCTGTGAAAGAGAGATTTACCAGTCCTCCAGAGCATGGAAAGACCACAAGAACTTTGTGGACCAAGAGGTGAGGCCTACTGTCCCGTATTATCTTTAAGATTACAACCGTTTAAACCAAATGAATGAAGTTCATTTTATACACTTGTCCCATAGATTGAACTTCTCCAGGATAAAATGAAGAAACTGCGTGAGGTTAGAGGCCATTTAAAGAGGAGGAGACCGGATGAGTGTGACTGTGGAAAGAAGAGGTCAGTTGGCAATTATATTTGTTAGGCAATTCCTTGTTGAGTCATGTGAACTGGATCAGTTTGAGGCAACTCTGAGCGGACTATGGAAACATGATTGGCCATCGTTCCACTGCTCATCTCTCTTGTTTTATTTTACTCCTCTATATACACTACCATTCAAAAGTTTGGGGTCAGTAAGTTTTTTAATACTTTTAACAAGCATTGGTGCAATAAATTGATCAATGGTAAATGCTTTTACATTATTATTAAAAAATAAAATCTATTTCAAATATAAAATGCATCACAGTTTCCCCAAAAATATTAAGCAACACAACTGTTTGCAACACTTATAATAAGAAATGTTCATTAAGCACCAAATCAGCATATTGAATGATTTCTGAAGGATCATGTGACACTGAAGGCTGAAATAATGGCTGCTGAAAATTCAGCTTTGTCATATTAAAATATGTGTGTTGTATTAAAATATATTCAAATGGAAAACAGTTACTTTAAATAGTATTTCAGACTCTTCACACTTTACTGTTGTTACTGCATTTTGGTTCAAATAAATATAGCCTTGGTGAGCATAAGAGTACTTCTTTCATTTATTTTATTTTTTTTAAATCTTACCAACACCAAAATTTTGAATGATAGTGTAACAGTAGGTTAAATATTGTCCTGAATAACAGACTGAATGTCTCAATCCTGATTAAATAACAAATTAATCATTTAAAATCTGAACAGCAGTATTTTGCAAATCAGTCTGAGTTTGCTCAATGCCTCTTTAGAAATTCCAGCTGGACTCATTGAATTTAGTGCTGTTCTTTCCTTATTACAACCAGCCACTTTAGCAAAGACAGAGAGCAGAAAAACAAACCCAAAAGATTGAAGAATAGGAATGACCATCTCCATCCCTTTAAGTGAGTGCTTCGTGTGTGTGTGTGTGTGTGTGTGTGTGTGTGTGTGTGTGTGTGTGTGTGTGTGTGTGTGTCTGTGTCTGTGTGTCTGTGTACGTGTATCCGTGCCTCGTCAGTTTGTCTGTCGTCTGTAGTATCTTGTTGAGATAAAGTCCCAGATTTATGTCCAAATCCATGTTGAGCATCTCTAACACACTTTGTTGACTGTGTGGTACAATTAATGTTTATAATGCTGCCACTCAATTCAAATAATTTTGTATGTGAAATAATGTATTGACTTGCGAATTGTTTAATTCAGTTAGTCTGGTTGAAATCCAACAGTTCTTATTTAATCCTGTTGTATGTGTATTGTTGCATGCATGCATATGTACATGTTGTTGATTAGTTAATCAGTTAATTTTCAGTCCATGGGTCACAGTTCTGATGGGGTCATTAAATTAAGAGCTCTTTTCATAAGAATACAATCCCAGCATCAATCTCTGCCCATAAACATCAATGTAAAAACTCATTTTGAAGTTTAAACACATAATTACAACCACGAGGTCACTTTGTGAGACTGAAACACCCTGGTCTGAAAATAGGACAAGAACCTTGTGGTTTTTAGGGGATCCTTCCACTTTCTCATGACCCCTGACCCTATCTATGTGTGGAGCTGGCTGGTCTGCTTCCCCCCATAATTGTGTAATTCACCTGGGATGGAGTTCCCTTTCACTCTGGCTCTAATGTCTCATTTATGCCACCAGAGAGGTCATGCAGGAAGTGGACAGCAAGACTCAACTCTACAACGAGATCCGCCGCAGGAAGAAAGAGAGGAAGGAAAGGAAGAGGCAAAGGAAGGGTGATGACTGCAGTCTTCCTGGCCTCACCTGCTTCACACATAATAATGACCACTGGCAGACCGCCCCCTTCTGGAACTGTAAGGAATTGTTCATTGATTTTGCTAGTCACATTGATTTAGTTGAAGTAAATAAGTTGACGAAAGTTTCTCTCTTTCCATAGTGGGTGGCTTCTGTGCCTGCACAAGCTCTAACAACAACACATACTGGTGTCTGAGAACTATAAATGAAACTCACAACACACTCTTCTGTGAATTTGCCACTGGTTTCTTGGAGTACTTTGACCTAAACAGTGACCCATACCAGGTGAGGATGTGTGTTCAGTTGTATTTTTAATTGGATAATTTGCTCTGAGACTGAGATGTGGCATAGCAGTAGTGTTGTAGTTCTCCTATGGGGATGCAGGTTCAATTCTGATCCCTCTTCCTCACTTCTTTCTTGTTTCCCTCCAGTACACTTTTAAATAAAAGCTTTAAAAGCCCATAATTAAAAAAAAAAAAAAAAAAACAACGCCTTAAAAAAAAAAAAAAACATGGCTCTTTGACTCTTTCTGTAAGGACATGCTATTATCTTAATTACAGCACTTACAATAGCTGACTCAATAAGTGCATATTATGTTTTGCAGTTAACCAACGCAGTTTATACAGTGGAGAGGGACGTCCTGAGCCAACTGCATTTACAGCTGATGGAAATGAGGAGCTGTCAGGGCCACAAGCAGTGCAACCCGAGGCCAAAAGGCTTAGATGCAGGTAACACTCCTGTCCCCTATAAAACCAACCAAAAGACCAACTTAGGCTGCTTTAGGGGTTTTTTTTTTCATCAGGTATGTAGTGTAAATGCTCACATGAGAAATGGCATGGTCTAATAAAGGTTGATACACACTGGCTTATTTTTTGTTGTCCAAGTTGAGAGGAAAGTAGTAAATACTTAGCAAAACGTGGTCTAGCATGGTTTACTTTGACACAGCCTGATGCATGAATAGGGTGAACCACATATGGGATGCCATGTGGCACGATCTCTGTAATAGTGGATGATGGATTGGTCACTGAGTTTGGTTTCTCTCTAAACTGTCTGCCCATCTCCTGTTTTTCCATTAATATTTTCCATTTTATTCCCTCACCAGGGAACTGTAATATTCAAGCAGTCTAGCAATCACATCATCTCATACTTTTTTTTTTCATTCCTAGAGAATACCAGACTCAATGAATAGCTCCTGTGAAAGAGATGCTTTCTTTTATGTTTGTAGCTGTTTGTGTAATTTTGAAAATCTAAAATTATACACTTATATATTGACACACATTCATCTCTGAGTGTCTTTTAAAAAAATCTTTAGTTGTGTAGTTGTGGTTTTAAAAACATTTTCTAGCAGAATTGTTTCTGTTCATTATTGGGAAGGAAGAGATTTCTGTAACATTGGGTTTTTGACAATTTAAAACTTGCTGTCACCAGGAACATTGAGATTTTCACTGTTCTGAAAACCATTTATAATTTTCTGTGAGGAGAGACTGACTCATTATAATGATATCATAAAGACCAGTTATAAAGATTTTTGTATTATTGAATATTTGTACAAGTCGTCATAGCTTTTCAACAACTAAATCAATAATGAGGTCAGCGCCTGTGTTTTGGAGGCAACAACAATGGTTTTGGTTTGGAATAAAATCATAATATTGAAGCAATAGTTTGCCCCAAAATAAATTCAGCATGTACTCATACTCATGTCATTCCAGATCTGTATGACTGATTTTCTTTCATTGAAACAAAGCTCTCTTCCATACAAAGTGAATGGCAAAAAGCTCCAAAAGCACCAAGTCTTCTGAAATCATACAGTACATTATTGTTAATATTATCATCAAACATTATCTGATTTTGTTTTTCTCATACAAAGCTGTAATATGATTTCAGATTACTTGAAATATAGCATCTTATGGACCTCTTGTAGCTTTTGGATGTTTACCAAAAGTGAAAAAAAGTGAATTTATTTACAATTCACTTTAATAATATGAAAAAGAGCAGCATGAACATTCTGTTAAACTTCTACTTTTGTCATCATTGGAAAAAAGAAAGTGTCTTGAACAACATTTGGTGAAGTTTGATGACATCTCAGGCACAACTGAAACATTTTGGGGTGAACATACACATCCATACGTGTATTAGATGGTTGAAGAATAAAGAAAGACAAATAAAATTAGGATTTGCCATTTAGTAATGCTAAAAATATTACAAAAACAGATGCATGTTAATACATATTAGTCTGCATGTTGGCATATTCTCATGTTATTTGTGACCTTAAGTCATGCACCACTGTTAACAATGTCATCGTATGACATTCATTCCATTCTTAACACTATACTTCCTTGCCATCTTTTTCTTCAGGACCATCCGAGGATTTTCCTCATTCATCTTTCACATCATCGTTCCTTCATTGTGTCTTTAATCTAACAATACCTTTCTTCAGGAGCTGGGTGTTATGCATGAAGAACTGCAATGTGATTGTTTATTATTTTCTTTTAAATCACAATAGACATTTAACATTGTAAATGCTTTTATTTTCCTGATCAGGAAGTAAAGCTGGAGGAAGCTTTGATCAACACAGGTATCCACACTTTTTGAATCCCTCATTGGTTTTTGAAATAACTGCATGGGCAGCTTGTTTCCACTAATACGCCATGTTTCATTGAGCTACGTGTGTGGTTGCATGCTAGGTTGAGCTAACAATTCAAGTACAGTATATTTAAACATCACATGAATATTAGTATTTGAAATCCCACAAGTTTTAGAATTTCAAGATCATTCCTCTAATTTTAACTCTTAATGGATTGCTTGTTTTTTTATGCACTTTATGTATTCCTAGATGTCATTTAAACTCAAATCATTTACATAAAAACCAAGGCTATTCATACACATCATTAGTGGGGAATAGCATCTCATAGACTTCTCAGTCCACATCAATATTTCAGGCTTTTTCTTACATTTTTCTCGTTCACGCCTGTCTTGACATCTCTGTTTTTTGGATTACCTGCTTACCAGGCAACAGCAGCATCGAAAATGGTCAAAGTTGAGGAGGCCAAGCCTTTCATTCCTGTGAGTCTTTGAGACCATACGAACCCTTTTCTGTTCTCATTCCACTCTCAAGTAGTTCTCCAAACTGCACACCACATCTCCATAGACCCTGAATTGATTGGCAGTTCTGGTTCAGTGCGGCCCGTGTCTCCTAGGCCATCAGTTACTGCCTGACCCACTCTGGGAATGCTCATTTCATTCTCTCGCCCTCCTTTAACACGCTTTTGATTTCGCAGTTTTGCAGTTTCTACCTCTCGTCCACACTTTCAGCTTCATATTTTGTTTTTTTGGGTTGCTGATTTCTTGGTTCCAGGATTTTCCATCTTTTCAGTCTCTCGTTGGATGTTTTATTTTGGTTGAACCTCATTGAACAGATTTTCAGTCTGTCTGCACACTATTTATGATGTATTGGTTTTGGGTGTCCATTTGGAGGACATTCGTTGCCTTGATTTGCATTCACACTGCTTTACTGCTTCAGAATAGAGCTTTTCTATTGGTCTAAGGCTTAAAAAAAAAGCACTTCAGTGGTGTGTGGGGCACTAATTCAAGACCCATCGGCACAAGTAGGCCGGGAATAACTGCATGTTTTAGACTCATTCCAAAGCAAATGATTTTCAGCTCAGCAATCATCAACCATTACTGAATTCTCTTGCTCCCCTCCCCCCCCCCTTTCCCAGAACACAGCCAGCCTGGGACGTCCACAAAGGTTAAGCCCAATTTCACAGAGGATATCGACTGGCAAGGACTGGCAGATTTGTACTGCATGAACGAGGGTCTGTATGAACACAGACGCAACTACAGTCCCGACCTGGATGACTGGACAAACTTTTGGAAGGATGTAGATACCATGTTTGCACTGCTGAGAAATTTAAAGAAACTCAACCAAACCGATAAGCTTGACCCGCTGGCTGAGCTGGGCTCCGGGGTCCTGGAGGAGGCCAGTGGTGCTGGATTCCCAATCCGAGAGGAACGCCCCCTGATTCCTGTCACCGAAGGTCCCTCGAGAGGTCCAACAACCAAAACTCTTCAAAAGAGTCGTTTAAAGTCTTCTAATGAACTCCCAGAAGGCCGCCCAACCAAACCAAGCACTCTTCCCAGGGGAGACACATGGGTTCAACAGCTGGAAAAAGAGTTGGACAATGATGGAATGACTTTTAGTGGCAATGGCGTCACTGAACTGGAGACCCGCCATGACTTTCTGTTGCGCAGCTCTAAAATTCTGGATCGCCACCTGCAGGAAGAAGAGGAGGACATTTTTCAGGCCCAGGGTTACCTTCCCCTCTCGTCGCAGCCAGCCAGACCCCCAGAGCCCACTGGGGAAACTCCTCCAGCCCAGAAAGACACCCCACAGGAAAAGTGGAATGGAAGCATCAGACCTTTTACCCACAAGCCCAGGGATGTTCAAGACTCGTAGGATAGTGCCTCGGGACCATCCCCTTTGAGAAAGGACTGCTGCCATGCACTGTGAAGCCAGCCAACTCAGAGACACTAACCCCACGGAGCATGGACTGCTCTCCTGTATAATCCAATTAATTATTTTATTTTTTACAAGTGCTTCCATTTATTAGAAATCAGTGTTGTATTTTGTCAAAAAAAATAAATATATATATATAAATTTAGAGGTAAAGTATCGGATACATCTTAAATGTTGGGTTTGTTTTTAAATCTCAAGTGGGAAAACACCATCAAAGTAAGGTTTTAATATATTTTTAAGTAAGAAACAGGTTAAAATGGTGAAACCGTCACATTCAGTCTTGAATTAACCACATGCAGATTGTTTCCCCAAATATTTGATGCACTTTTTTCGTGTTTCTCAACTTCAACACATTCTGCAGTCTCATTTAGACGTAAACGACTCCATGTTGCCACCCAACACAAGTCATTATTTGTTGGATTCGCTTTTGTTAATGAGTATTGTTGATGTTTTCTTCGACGTTTACTTCAGCTTGTTAGGTTCAGTTCACTGTTTACACTATAAAACACTGCTTGCACATGTTTCATACACTTGGATTGTGGGTTTAATGGCTTGACTTGTTGGTGAAATGGTTCTCTCACAAATGTTGTATAGTTCAGCTGCATTCAGTCCATATAATGTAAGAAGGGCATTCACCTAAGTGCTTTAATCATGGAAGATTTCACTAACCTACAAAAAGTAATCACTTTAAAATAGCTTGTTTCATTTGTGAAGAATGTGAGATGGGCATTTATTCAGAGTTTTCTGACCATTTTCATCCTGTCTTTTAGAATTGCAACGTCTTCATTTTTTTTTTTAAGTAAAAATGGTTTGAATATGAGATGACCTGCCAAATTTACAAATATTACATTACATTTTAACCAGTGGTGTTGAAACAATTCTGGCTTCTGGAAAGCCAAGAAGCTGTTTTGAAATAAAAATCTGCCAAACATTTGTTTCACCTGCCTTGTGCCTCTAACCTTTAATTGATAGATTAATAATAATAATAATAATAATAATAATAATAATAAATAATAATAATAATAATTTACAATTTAATGAAATTACAATGTGACACTGATGTTACACTGCAAATTGAAGTTGTAGAGCTTTTTATAATGTACTGCAAAGTAAACAGTTTTACAATTAATGTTCTTATCTAGTGTGATTTGGGTGTAGAAGATGTGATTCTGCCTTCCAGGATCTGAAAATAATTGAGTAAAATTGAGTAAAATATGAACATAAAATGAAAATGCACTTTATTTCTTTGTTCTTTCATATGTATCATACTTGTGGACTTTTTGTGATTAGTTTTATCCTTTCTAGCCATAAAAAGTTGTTTTCTCTATCTCCTCATACTCTTTATTTTAGGCTGTGTCCTGGGCTGAGTGCTTTGAATAACAGTCAACCCATTATTAGCATTCTGCCAAGAAGTCCTGAACAGGCTGTCTTGGCATGACTCTACTAATGCCATTCATTTTTCTTCATGTTTGCTCTATAAATATATGAACTCCAGAAAGGCAGCAGAAACCAGTTTTTATTTATTTAAGAAAGATTGAAACTGTGGTCAGGTTTGGCAACAACACAATTTAAGAAGTTAGAATACTAGTGGTTTATAAATATTTAAAAATATTTTAATATTTATAAATATTAATATAGTGTTTAAATTTAGTGTTAATTAAATTGTTGTACAGGGGACAGTCACTTGGCTATAGTTTTGGGTGCTTGATTAGAGTTTAAACTTTAAGCTCAACATTGCATAAAAATAATGTAATATTATGTGTTTTCAGACATTACTGTTTTACTGTTCAATACTAGCCATTAGGCCTACTAAAATACACGCTGCTTATAACGAGGTATGTTGTTCGTTTATTACAAACACTGACAATGTTATTACTAGTGTGTTCTCTAGTTGTACTCTAGTAATAGAAGTCTACCACTAGAGGGCAGCACTATAGTTTGTCTAAACCTGAACATGATGATAAAGGGATAGTTCACCTTCAGTTGCTGGTCCCCATTGACTTCCATAGTGGGGTGGGGGAACGCTATGCAAGTCAGTGGACCAGCAACTGAAGGTGAACTATCCCTTTTAGTTTTCATTGCTCAGAAAACATCCGAGATATTTTTTTTAAAGTACCATTTTGCTAAAGGTGTAGGATGGCTTAGTTTTATTACAATGCCATGAAATATACTGGCTACACACAAAAATTATTATTTTAGCATGTTATACAAATGATACAATTATTTAAATGCAGATGATTCAAAGAAACCACAAAGTAAAATAATCTGATCCACAAAAAAAAAAAAAAAAAAAAAAATATAAAATAGAAGACTACACTGAAGAAGTATAATGACATGTTGATTGACTGGTTGCTACATATTTGCAGTGATCTAAAAATCTGGATGCAGATTGGATGCACACGAATGTAACCACCAGGTGGCGTCACTGTACTCGTTTTCCCAGTGTATGTTTGAGTACAATTTAAGAGGGGTGTGGGAAAGTCAAAACGGTGTCCTGGCTGACAGAGATAAGACCGAGACATGACTCTAAAAGCATTCATGAAAGAGTTGTGCAACAGTGATGTGAGATGCTGTTTTTGTACCTGTAGCTGGATGATTTGAAGATAATCAGCATGCTTCTCTCAGACTTTCATTGGAAACTTCATAAGCTGGACAAACACTGCCACATACACATTCTAAGACTTTTTCAGGGAGTAGAGTGCTGATTGACACTAAAAAAAGAGTGGCACTGTCCAAAGGTCAGCTGGACACCTGGGTGAGAGTGACCCCTGAGGAAGACCATAAAGATCGGTTTTGCCTTATTACACCTTTTTCTTGAGTCTTTTTATGTGATACTTGTCATCATGAAGAAGCTTTTTTGGTTATTTTTAGGCTGTATATATGGAAGTCTCAAACATTTAACACCTTTATCTTTTTATGGAAATGTAAAAAGTCTGCATAGGCTGTATATACAGTGCCTTGCGAAAATATTCATACCCCTTCCTTTTTTTCACATTTTGTTAAGTTGCTGCCTTATGCTAAACTGCTTTAAATTACTTTTTTCCCACATCAATCTACACTCCATACACCATAATGGTAAATCAAAAAGCAGGTTTTTAACATCTTTGCACATTTATTAAAAATAAAAAACTTAAATGATTCCATTGCATAAGTACTCATACCCTTATCTGGGACAGTTGAAATTTAGCTCAGGAGCATTCATATTGCTTGTAGATGTTACTACACTTCGAGTGAAGTTAACCTGTGTTGCCAGACTCAATCTTCTCCTCAGTGAAGACACATGAAAACACACTTTAATTTTGCATAAAAAACACCTAAAGGACTCTCAGACTCTGAGAAACAAGAGTCTCTGGTCTGATGAACCTCAAATCAAATAATTCTGGAGAAACTTTAAAATGTGCATTTGCTCCCATCCAACCTGACAGAGCTTGAGAGGTGAAGAGGTGAGGAGAAGAAGGGCAGATAATTGCCAAATGATGATGATCAAAGCTTGTCGCATTAAACAAAAAAGAATTGAGACTGTAAAGGTGATTCAGCAAAATATTTAGTTATGCAATCTACTTATTTCAGTTATTTTATTTTTGTAATAAATTTACGAAGTCGTGACAATTCTGTTTTTGCTTTGTCAGTATGGTGTATGGAGTGTAGATTGATGTGGAAAAAAAGTAACTTAAAGCAGTTTAACATAAGGCAGCAACATAAACAAAATGTTAAAAAATTAATGGGGTATGAATACTTTAGCAAGGCACTGTGCACATAATACATGTTCAAAAGTTTGGAATAAATAAATTAAACACATTAGTTGATCAAAAGTGACAGTAAAGACGTTTATAATTTTACAAAAGATTTAAATAATTCTGAAAAAAATCACAGTTTCCAAATTTAAATACATCCTCAAACTTTTATTTATTTTTTTATCATGATATTTTTGCCAGCTGCAACAAGTGGACACAAGTTGTTCTCATGTTTTAAAGTTAATTTAAAATGATACAGTTTATATTTTATGCATATTATATTTTTTATAATTATTTGACATTTTGATGACTGATAAACTATTCAGTGGCAACTTCCAATGTGACAACTAGTGTGGCATGTTGTCACAAACTGTATGCTTTTTTCATCTGAACATCATGACTTATGGTTTTGAGGTCAAGAAATAGGGATAAGTATGTTTTAAAAACAAAGTTAAAACATACTTAGCAAAGGGAAATAGGCCTACATTTCCCAGCATGCACAGCAAGCTCCGTCACCCCCTTCATCAAATCCGCAATCTCTCATTGACTTTGACTCACTGTCCGTGTCGAGGACAACAACTCACTAACTCTGTCTCTATCTGCCCGTGTAAGTACACTACTCCTCATTCAGTTCACTCTTCATTCAGTTTATCATTATTTTTATTAATCAGAACTTAGAGTCGAGCTGTAAGCGATGTGCTGTGAATGAATTCAGTGAAAGGATCAGTGTTTGGACTGATAGTATATTGTATTATATTTCTGCGAATTACACTCATGTATAAAGTCGTGACTTCGTAGACGTTGGGTCGGGAATTAGTTGTATTAGATAAACAAATAATTCGGGCAGGTTGACACGGTTTTTAATTTTCCTCACAGTGTTTTTTCAGTGCTCTGTCGCACGTTTACTGTTATTCTTTGTCTTGCTCGACCGCTAATCTACCAGACAGCAGCTCGACTTCACAAAACAAATGACAGGAAAAGTACGCTGTTTCTATTGCTTCTTGAACAGTAATTAAACAAATATTAATACTAGTTTGTCTTTATTTCCATTGTCTTTAGGATTCTGAATCACTAAACTACAAAGAACCATTTCAGCACCATGACCAGAGATCATTTCATCCTATGTTCAAATGACATGAATTGAACTTTTCGCTGCTATGCTTATAAATGAGGCGAAACTGTAGGCAGCTACACTAGGTGAAATATTATATAATAGATCTAATGCATATGATATGACCACATTCTGACTTATGATGAGGAATAAGAAAAAATAGCTGCTATACAGAGGGATCATGCTTGGAAATCTAGTCGTCTTTAGTCTGTTTATTGTGTGTCTAATCTGTAGAATAA